TCTGCCTGTCAAAAAAAAATTAAAAAAAAAATTACTTGGGATCAGCTTGATCCTCTGGTGGCTTGCTTTAAGCTTTACTAAGGCAGGACCATATCAGTGTATAGCTTAGAGCTAATTTATCCCCACTACGAAGATGATGCCTTCGGAGGACTCTGTCCAGTGCTTTGTGTATAGAGGTCTCTATCTCAGCTGCTACATAGGCTAACAACTCCAGACCCGACTGAGTGCCAAGAATGGTTTGGCCCACTGCCTCCTGTGAATTCTCCCTTTGCCTTATGGAATTTCACCTCATGTACACTCAGAAAAATATTGAGCTAAAGATAGGCTATAGTCAGAATTACTTATTCCTCTAAAATTCATGTCTTGGAATTGAAACTCCAAGGTGACAGTATTAAGTGGTGGGACAAGGCTGGGCATTTGACACAGCAGTTAAGCTTGCTGCCCGGGATGCCTGCATCCCATGTCGGAGTGCTGCTTTGAGTCCCAAGTCACGTGCTTCTGATCCAGCTTCTTGCTAACGTGTGCCTTGGGGAGCGGCAGATGATGGCTCAAGCCTCTGCCACCAACATGGGGACCTAGGCCTTGCCTAGCTCCGGCTATTATTATATGCATTTTGGGAATGAAGATTCTCTCTCTCTCTCTCACACACACACACACACACACACACGCACACTCACTCTGCATTTCAAATAAAGTGAAAATAAATAACTTAAAAAAAAAGAGGTTGGGCACACTGGGAGACAGTCAGGCCACGGGCTGGAGGGAGAGAGTGGCGCCTTTTCACCTTCCATCTCTGCCACTGTGTGAGGACCCAGTGTTTCCCCTGTGGAGATGTGGCAAGCAGGTGCCACTGGGCAGAAATATGACGGTGCCTTGACCTGGACTTCCTAGCCTCCGGAACAGTGTGAAAATAATTTCTACCCTTTGTAAGTTACTCACTTTCCAGTATTTTGCTCTAGCGGCAGGAAGGAACTAAGGTAAGACTTCGGGTGGCCCCTCTCTCTCTTCCAAGGCTGTGCTCCACAAATGCCAGCCACCTCAGCTTTGCCCAGCTCTGAGCTCTGTCTCCTGAATCCGGTGAAATTTTCCGGCTGTCTGAGTTCTCCATCTCTCCTGCCATTGTCTAGAAACTGCCTTGGGCAATAAAACTCACCTCATTCATTGCTCTTCTCCCGGTTGGTTCCCACAGTCCTGTGCTGTCAGGCCCGTACTTGAAACCACTCATATTTGTTTTCTCATTTTCTGGTTGTGTACAAGGGCAGGACATTTTCCATGGCAGTTAATACCCCATGGATAAAAACAGAAGTCTCTTTTATCCTCTTTTCAGTTTTAAAAAATTGTGGTGGAGAACTTTGGCTCAGTTTAAGTCTGGTGATCACCTGTGCACCAATCATCCGAGTGCTGAAGACATACGAGAAAAACCGCACTTTCAAATGCTGGAAAATGGGGAGAATCATTATGCCCGATTAAAAACTGGCAAGTTCTCTCCCAGAAGGAAGGGCAAGTGTGGCGGCAGGAGCAGATGAGAGGCATCTACTGTATTGACCCAACAGAGCTCTTAGAGCTCCATTATCTAGAAGACTGAGTTCACTCCCTGGTCCCACGGTCGCAGGGTCAAGGACAAACTGGATGCAGGGATACAGTGTGTGTAACAGTTACACTGAAATAAATAGAAAGTAACAAAAAACGCAAGCCTCTTCTCTCCCCTCCTCTGCCCAGGAAGTCCTGCTCTGTGAAACAAATATTTTCCCACCCCTGGAGTGAGATGTAGGGTTGGTCCTACTACTTTGCTGATTCTCTTCAGAAAACAAAAATACCTCCAGCCATCTTAACCCCATGAGCAGCGCTTTCTTTCAATCATTTAAACGTCTACTTCTGGTGTTTAATTTAGCACTTAAAATGCCTCTTGGGGCCGGCGCCACGGCTCACTAGGCTAATCCTCCGCCTGCAGCACCGGCACACTGGGTTCTAGTCCCAGTCAGGGTGCCGGATTCTGTCCCGGTTGCTCCTCTTCCAGGCCAGCTCTCTGCTGTGGCCCGGGAGTGCAGTGGAGGATGGCTCAAGTGCTTGGGCCCTGCACCCCAAAGGAGACCAGGAGAAGCACCTGGCTCCTGCCTTCAGATCGGCACAGCTCCAGCCGTTGAGGCCACTTGGGGGGTGAACCAACGGCAAAGGAAGACCTTTCTCTCTGTCTCTCTCACTGTCCACTCTGCCTGTCCAAAAAAAAAAAAAAAAAAGCCTCTTGGGACACCTGCATCCCACATCATAGAATTCAAGACCGAATTCTAGCTTTGCTTCCAATCCCAGCTTCCCACCAATGAGTACCCCGGGAGGCAGCAGATAATGGTTCAAGTACTTGGGTCCCTGCCACCCACGTGGGAGATCTGGATTCAAGTCCCAGTTCCTGGCTTTGGTCTCTCCCAGCCATGGCTGTTGCAGGCTTTTTGGGGGAGGCAGCAGATGGAAGATTTGCCTGTCAGCCAATCTCTTTCAAATAAAAAAATAAACAAATGAACACATAAATGTCTGCTTCTGAGCTATAATCAAACCTGAGGCTTCTATGTATAGGTAAAGCTCACCCATGTGGGGTGTGCTTCCGAGGGAAACAGCATGTGGTCAGCTTCTCCTCTATTTTCCCATAAAAGGATCTGTTTGAACCACAATATTCCGCATGTAACTCCCTCAAGGGCTCCCCGCATTTTCTGACCTCCTCCAGAAGATCTGGAGGAGAGCCCTGATGGAAGACGGTGGGGGGGGGGGGTCCTCAAAGGACTTCTCTATAAAACCATCCTGACTTGGCTTTGTGATCTGTCCACCTAGAAGTGCACCAGGCTTTTCCCATGAAGCACGGTTTCCACATTACCCCGAGTGAGGAGTGGTGCAGCCAGACAGAGCTCAGGGGAGAGGACAAGGAGGGAGCTGCCCTGGAAGGCACAGTGGACCATGCAGCACCACCCACAGGGAACACCGGGTGGGTCGCCAGGCAGAGGGCCAGAGGGGGACCGAGGTTTCTGAGGGTAGGAGGGGATGAAGCAGGCTAGCAGAGTTGGTTTTTTTGTTTTGTTTTGTTTTGGACAGGCAGAGTGGACAGTGAGAGAGAGAGACAGAGAGAAAGGTCTTCCTTTGCTGTTGGTTCACCCTCCAATGGCTGCCGCGGATGGCGCACCGCGCTGATCAGATGGCAGGAGCCAGGTGCTTCTCCTGGTCTCTCATGAGGGTGCAGGGCCCAAGCACTTGGGCCATCCTCCACTGCAATCCCGGGCCACAGCAGAGAGCTGGCCTGGAAGAGGGGCAACCGGGACAGAATCCGGTGCCCCTACCGGGACTAGAACCCGGTGTGCCGGTGCCGCAAAGCGGAGGATTAGCCTAGTGAGCCGCGGCGCCGGCCATGGCAAGCAGACTTGTAACCAGCTAATTTGAGGGGTCACAGTGGGCTCCAGGGCACAGGGCCGTCTCTGGTTGTCTGGTACGTGGCCCTGGAGCAACAGGCGTGTGTGTGTACAGTGACCAGATCTGTGACAGCCCCATAGAGGAAACAGCTGCTCCAGAAGTGCCTCAAAACCGGGTTAATGCAGCATTAAGGGGGCTGGGGCTGCTTACAAAGCCAGCGTCCCTAAGCAGAGCACCATGAGATGCTCTGCTTCTGATCCAGCTCCCTGCCAGTGTGCCTGGGAAAGCAGCTGAGGATGTCCCAAGTCCTTAGACCCCTGCACCCACACAGGAGACAGACCTGGGCTCCTGGCTTCAGCCTGGACCAGCCCTAACCAATGCAGCTATTTGAGAAATGAATCAGTGGATGGAAGCTTGATTCTCTCTCTCTTTCTCTCTCCCTCCTACATTGGAAGATACTGGTTCTCAGCACTTCTTGCCAGGGTCTAAAGAAGGTCACCTTGCCTCCGGAACAGGTCCTCTCCAACAGGGTTCCTTAAAATAAGGCTCCAAACTAGCTCTCTGCGGTGCCTCTCACGCTAACCTGACTTACACCCGAGCAACAGCAAAAGAGAGCTGGCCACCGAGAGTGCCAAGGACCAAAGCCCTTGCAGGCTGGGCCAAGCAGAAGCAGAGCCAAGGAGCAGAGCACAGAGGTTTTCCAATGTAACTGAATCAAAGGTTATGCAAGCTCAGCTATTGGGGTGAGTCCCAGGAAGCACTGGGCTGGGGTGCAGAATTTAGGGAGGCATTATAATATATGCTAATGATGCATTACACATGTTTCCTGCGATGTCGTAGCAAATACATTAAAATGTTTATGTCTGGTGCACAACTTCCCTTTAGCCCGAGGCTCCTGATGGCTCAGTAGGGCCCTACTGCTTCTGATTCTCCTCCTAGCCGGACTGAACCCCTGGCGCTTCCACCGAGGATGCTGGAGCAGTCCTTGAGCTGAGCCCTGAAAGTGTTGAATCGAACCACGGCAGGAGGGGAGGCACGGAGTGCGCGGACAGGGGAGAGGAAATCGCACACATTGAGTCCAACATACCCGGAGTGGACGTGGCTTGAGGGATGCCTGGGGAATGGTGGTGGCTTTGAGGTTGTAGGCAAGGGATCAGGTCTTAAGAATTGTCATTGGGGAGACACGTGCTCACATTTGATTCTTATGCAGATAATGCAGTGTGAATGGCGGAATGGCAGGTCAGAATAAGGGTAAGTCAAGCCCCTTATGAGGTTTGCCCATTACCTAGTGAGGCTAAGACCCCATCCAGACAAGCATAGAGATATTCCCAAGGTCAGCGTCGGGACCTCAAGTGCCCCCAACATAGCAGCGAGGGTGGGGCCGCACCTGGCTTCCCACAGGCCCTGCCAACGCGGCCACTGCAGGGTTCCACCCGAGCGCGGTGCACCAGGGCGCACGGAGCCCCCGCCCGAATCCCGCCAGGGGCCAAGGAGAGCGGGGCGGGGCGGGTCCCGCGGTGCCCTGACCCGCTCGCCGCCCAATCGCCGCGGGCAGACCGAGCCCCGGGGGGCTGGGGCCGCCGCCGCCGCGTGAACGTGCCGCGGCTGCGCCGACGCGCGAGCGCCGGGCAGGGCGGCGGGCGCGCTCAGTCTGGCGGCAGCGGCCGTGCGCGGACAGACGTGCCGGGAGCGCCGCACCGCCCGCGCCTCCCGCAGCCCAGCCGCTTCGCTCCGCCCGGGCCGCGCCCGCTCGCCCGCCATGGTGTCATGGATCATCTCCAGGCTGGTGGTGTAAGTGGCCTTCGTCCGCGCGCGGCCCCCTCCCCTCCTTCCCCGCCCCCGGCCCGGGGCTGCGCGCCCCTGCAGCGCCCGGCCCCAGGCTCTCGGGCTATTAATACCCGGCGGCCGCTAAATTTAGCAGGTACAGTAGCTGCCCAGGACGCCTGCGAGCTGGCGGGACGCGCGCGCGGCTGCAGCCTCCGGGGCGCCGGAGCCCGGCGGGCGGGGCGGCGAGGCCCGGGGCGCATGGGGCGCCCCGGCCGCTTTGTTCCCCGCGCGGGTGGGATTTGCAGAGGCTCCGCGTGGGCGCGCCGCGGGGACACGTGTAGCACTGCTTTGGGAGAGATGTCGGGGTCGCGCGCCGCCGCCGCGCTATTGTCAGGTGAAGGAGACCCGGCGGCGCTGAGCGGCCGCGGCGCTGCCCGGAGGGGTCAGCGCCGGGACGGGCGTAGGGAGGGCGGGGCTGCCCGTGGGGCCGAAAAATACTCCTTTTTAGGTTTGTCAGATCCGCAGCGGCCACAGCAGGTGGGACGTCGGCGGGCGTGTAGGATTCTGGGAGCGGGGCACCTGGGGTCCCCCGGGGCACGATGGCTTTTGCAGGGCGTTGGAGAGGCAGGGACGAGCATCTCCAGGAATGTAGGGGAAATTTCCAAGTGACAGCCACCCCGGGCGGTGGCGTCGCCGCCTTGCCTGGCCTTGCAGGAGAGCAGAGTCATCTGGGGCGAGGCCTGTGTGGAATCACTGGGGGGTGGGGGGAGTGGGCGTGGGGCTCTTTTCTCCCTGAAGCGCCTGGGCCGTCAGCAGACACTGGAAGGGCCCCTTCCCTCGTGGATCTCTCGGCTTTTGGGGACGGACGTGGCTCTTTCCCCTCTGCAGCTGGGTCAGGGCGGGTCTGACACCTGGCGAAGGCGGCGCGCTGCCGTGGGTGTGGGGAGGCCGAGGTGGGGCGCGTCTCTCGGGCTTTCTCTTTGTCTGGGAAACGACCATCGCGTTTGGACACCTCTCCCATCGCCTCCCCTTCTTTACTGATTTTCAAAGAGGCCGTCAGGGGCAGCCTTCCGAAGTCATTCTCAGCATTGTCCCGAGGGTTTTGCTTCCAGTGCCTGTGGGCCCCCGCCCCCCAAGTCATTCCGTGATGGCCTCTCCACAGCTGGCACCGCTGCAGGGGGCTGTGTCCTGTACCTCGAGGTGGCATATGAGCTGTGTGGGAGTTTTCCGTGGGCAGGGCTGGCACGAACAATGCCGGGAAGCTGCCCCCCCCCCCCCCGTGCCCTGCCCCGCCTCATCCCTGACCAAAGCCCATCTTACCTCTCAGAGGTGGTTTCCCTCAAATGTCCCCATGATCCTCACATTTGCCAGCAGCTGGGGTGGGGCCGGGGAGGGGCCGTTGGTTGGCCTGGCTGGTGGACTCTTTGTGGGTCCCACTGCACTGGGAGTGAGGGCTTCTGGTTCAGGGTCATGTGGTCATCGCCTCTCCCTCTGCCCAAGAGAGGGTGCAGAGGAGAGGCAGGTGTCTGGGAGGAGCCTTGGGGCCATGCTGTGAATTATTGAAGGAACCCCACCCAGCAGAGCTGAACTCACATGACCCTGAGAAGTGCCCCTCAGGCCAGCCCAGGACCCTCGGCCCCCAGGGAGAGTTGGTGGGATTTGGGGCTGTTGGTCCCACTGTCAACTCTAAAGGGTGTGGGCAGCTGCCCCTCTCCCTGCAGTCTCTAGTTCCTTGGGTAAACCCAACATACATGCTGAATCATTAGCAATGCGTGTTCCGTGTAAGCAACACGTGTTCATTACAGGACAATCAGAACTACAGATCAGCCGGCTGAAAATCATCTACATGATAACAGCACACGGAGACAACAAATGATCAGTTCGGGGCGGGAGGGAGTATATTTTAAAAGAAATTTTCCCTAATGCGTGTCTGTCATATAGTTTTATTTCAGACTGAGGACATTATCAGTTCAGCCCAATCCCACATGCTCAGAGGAATGTCTTACGAAGGAGTCAGAAAATCCTGGCTTCCAATCCCAGTGCTCGCTCGCTGTCTTGGGAGCAGATTCCCCTCCTGTCTGGGATCACAGCCGGTCCTGGGTCACAGGCTGATGAAGTGCAGGGTGCTGTTGCAGAGAGTCCCATGACGCGTGATGCATAAATGCCCAGGCACCGCCAAGGCCACTGCCACTGCCTCAGTGGGGCCTGCCTACCGCCCCTCCCTGGAAGGGGCTCTCGGGCTTAATCTCCTGTGTTCAGACTGGCTTTTGTGAGGGCCCCCCGCCCTTTTTGTTTCGTACATTAGGTGTTCTAGATGAAACCGAATTCGGGACATATGTGGGTTTTACTGATCACAGAAACCACAGGTCCAGTCCCCCACCCCCACCCCCAATCTGCAAAGCTGCAGAGGGAATGTGCCCTGGCCAAGGACACGAGGTGAATGGGTGAAGAGAATGGGCCTTGGGGGTCTGGTCCAGTGCCTTTCCCACCTTCACACACCCCTATGGTGTGTGAAGCTCCCAAGCCCCTCTGGTATGGGAGCAGTCTGACGTTTGTCCGTAAGCCCTGTTTCCTGTAAGTAATCTCACCAAGGATTTGTAAGCCTCTGTCACATAAAGACATTTAAGGAAGATCTGTCACTGTGCTCTGAGGATGGAGAGGGAGTGTCTTCCTGTCTTTGTGGCTCCAGCCATCCATCCAGGCATTAAGATGAGCTGATGGCATCCAGGGACAGCCAGCCGGCTATCTGTGCCGCTACTTGGCCGTGAGTGTTTTTGAGGGCAGCAGCTGGGGCTTGTTTCCCTCTCCAACCTTACCCGCCCCCACCCTCCCCGCCCCAAGGCTCTTTTTAGAAGTGCTGGGCACCTGAGCGCAGTCAAGGTTGGTTTTGTTGAAGGAGATCACAGGCCCCGGGGATTTGCAAGGAAGCCTGCCAGTGCTGTTCCCTGGAGATAGAGGTCTTTGGGCATCAGGACAGGTTGGGGCACACTGGTCAAGGCTCTCAAATGAGGCCCAGTCTGAGATGCCGTTTTCTTGTCATGTGTCACCCTGCTGACTCCCTTGCCTTGGCCTGGGAAGAATTGGGAAAGATATTCAGTGTGGTGGCAGGGTTGATCCCATTAGACCCTGCATGATGTCTGCATGGGGCATGGGGTTCTTTTAGGACTTGCCCGCCTCCCTCTTCCAAAATAGCTCTTTTTCTTTGCAAGCAACCACAGGCTTAGGCACGAATGAGTCTCAGACTAGGGAGAATGTGCTCTTGTGTACAATGCAGACACGGCTCCGTGACTTCTTGCAGAATGTGCCATTTGGAGCCTTTATGCCAAGGAGCAAGAGTGACGTCATTATCTCTGGACAGAACTTTGGCCAAGGTCCAGCATGTTGGCTGAATGATTTATTTATTTATTTGAAAGACAGAGTTACAGAGAGGCAGACAGAGGTCTTCCATATGCTGGTTCATTCCCAAATGGCTGCAACAGCCAGAGCTGGCTGATCCGAAGCCAGGAACCAGGAGCTTCCTCCCTGTCTCCCATGTGGGTGCAGGGGCCCAAGGACTTGGGCCATCTTCTACTGCTTTCCCAGGCTACAGCAGAGAGCTGGATCGGAAGTGGAGCAGCCAGGACTCGAACCAGCGCCCATATGAGATGTCGGCACTGCAGGCAGCAGCTTTACCCTCTGTGCCATAGTGCCGGCCCCAAAATGTTAGTTTTTAAAACCTGCATGATGCTGATCAAGACTAGGTCTTCATTTGGTGGCTGGAGGCCTGGCTGAGTCCCGGGACTAGTATTTGGAGCGTGACGTCTCTTTGTCTTGGGTCAGGGATGTAAAAGGAGAGGAGACTGGAAGGAATGTGGATTGTCCTCAAGTTGTTCCCCAACTGTTGCAAAACAAATGGAAAAGAAAAAGAGAAAAGATCATAAATCCTTAAACACAAGCTTGTCTTTCTTTGGGGCCTGCTTTTAACAAATGGAATGCAAGAAAATGACCCAGTTAATAGAGGGTTCAGGTTGGTGGAGGATTTGTTTCCTGGCACTGAAATGTGGTGTCGTGTAGAAGCTGGGAGAAATGTTTCAGTTGAACCGTGAGAGGAAAGATATTGGACTGGAAGGCCCCAGATCCACTGTCAGAGTCCTAAGGAAACTCATGCCCACCCATCCACCCCGGGGTCCTAGCACCCTGTCCCAGAGACAGGCGGTTGGCCAGCATCATGTTGGAGGCCCTAATAGCTCCAAGAGTTGGGGAGCCTGGAGGACGCTCCCTCCCCAGCTGGCCTGTATGCACCACGTTTATTTATCCCCAAGGAGGTGAAAAACACCAACTTAGATCTCGCTGCTGTTCAGGTGCCTCCTCTCTTTGTTTATTGATGGCGCCTGCCTGCTGGGAAGCAGCTGATGCACCCTTCTCCCCACCGCGTCTTATTTGAGGTTCGCTGACAAGCGGAGGTTCTACCTGGTTATTACCACGTCAGCCTATCCTCTTAGCTGTCGTCTTTGGAGCTTGTGTTGTTTGGGAGGAGGAGAAGCCCTGGGAAACGGAAAGGCAGCGACAGTTGGCCTCTTTGGCCTCCTTTTTCTTGTTGTACACGTGGTGTGTGTGTCCGCCCAGGGGAGTTCTAGAGGCTGAAGGAGGAGACTTGGCCATGCAGGAGCCACAGCACCTGGCATCTCTGGGGTTTCACTGCCAAGAAGGAGCCACACGCATGCCCAGCTGGTTCCCAGCATCCTAAGCGCCACTCCCACCCCATCCTAAGCCTTGAGAGCTTTTCCCAGCACCAACGAGACCCAGGGGGTTTCCATTTGGGCTGGACGGATGTTTTCCTCTCCCTTCTGGGCCTTGGGAAGGCCCGAGGGATTGGAAGACGGGTAGATGTATACATACCATTCATTGTGAACCCTCAGGTCCTCACACAGAAGCACTGTATTTTCCCCTCAGAGTTTGTTAGTCACACCCAGGAGCTTTCCCAGGAACACAGAGAAAAAGGAAATGCGATCTTCCCTGGGTGTGCATAGGGGTTCGATCCAGGA